TTCTCGGATTATTTGCTCAGCATGGAGATTGGATTAGTATGGTGAAAGGATACAACCCTGATGCACACTTTTTTTTTTTTAATTTTAGACCACACAGTATCCCCTTGTTCTATTAGAATGATGGCCTCTTGGTCTAGCCACATAAGCACAATCAAGTGCTCTGGAATTCCCATTCTTTACAATGTTATCCATAATTTGTTAGTATCCACCCAGTTGAATGCCTTTGCATAGTCAATAAAACACAAGTATACATCTTTCTGGTATTCTCTGCTTTCAGGCAGATCCATCTGACATCAGCAATGGCATCCCTCATGCCACATCTTCTTCTGAATCCAGCTTGAATTTGTGGCATTTCTCTGTTGATGTGCTGCTGCAATTGTTTTTGAACTATCTTCAGCAAAAGTTTACTTAGGTGTGATATTAATGATATTGTTAGATAATGTACACATTGTGTTGGATAATCTTTCTTTGGAATAGGCACAAATACAGATCTCTCCAGTCAGTTGGCCAGATAGAAAGAAAGAAATTCGGTCTTCCATATTTCTTGGCATAGATGAGTGAGCACTCCTAGCATTGCATCCTTTGTTGAAACATCTCAATGGGTATTCCATCATTTCCTGAAGTCTTGTTTTTCACCAATGCCTTCAATGCAACTTGAACTTCTTCCTTCAATACCATTGGTTTTTGATCTTACACTTCCTTCTGAAATGCTTGACCATTTTTGGTACAGTGACCCCGTGTATTCCTTCCATCTTCTTTTGGTACTTCCTGTGTCAATATTTTGCTCACAGAATCTTTGAATATTGCACTCAAGGCTTGAATTTTTTCTTCAGTTCTTTCAATTTGACAAATCTTGAGTGTGTTCTTCCCTTTTGGTTTTCTAACTCCAGGTCTTTGTACATTTTATACTTTACTTTGTCTTTCCAAGCCGCACTTTGAAATCTTATGTTCAGCTCTTTTACTTCATCATTTCTACCATTTGCTTTAGCTACTCCACATTCAAGAGTCTTCTGCCATCTATTTTGGTCTCTTTTCTTTCTTCTCTGTCTTTTTAATGACCTTTTGCTTTCTTCATGTATGATGTCCGTGTCATCCCCCAATTCATCTGGTCTTCAGCAATTGATATTTAATGTGTTAAACCTATTCTTGTGATTGTCTCTAAATTCAGGTGGGATATACTCAAGGTCATGTTTGGCTCTCATGGACTTGTTTTATTTCTTCAGCTTCAATTTGAACTTGTATATGAGTAATTGATGGTCTGTTCCACAGTCCGCCCCTGGCCTTGCTCTGCTGGTGATATTGAGCTTCTCCATTGACTCTTTCCACAGATGTAGTCAATTTGATTCCTATACATTCTATCTGGCAAGGTCCATGTGTATAATCACCATTTATA